TGTCATGGGCAGTTGGATTCATTCATACCACAAGTCAAATGGTTTTCACAGTGGGTTTACCTTTCTGTGGTCCCAATGTTGTGGACAGCATCTTCTGTGACCTCCCTCTGGTCATCAAGCTGGCCTGCACTGACACCTATATCCTGGAGCTCCTGGTGATTGTGGACAGTGGTCTCCTGTCCCTGGTGTGTTTCATCCTCTTGGTCATATCCTACATCATCATGTTCATCACCCTCTGGCAGCACTCCTCCAGCGCCTCCTCCAAGGCTGTGTCCACACTCTCTGCTCACATCACTGTAGTGACCCTCTTCTTTGGCCCAGGTATCTTCATCTATGCTTTTCCATTCAACAGTTATTCTGTAGACAAGTTTCTGTCTGTGTTTTACTCTATAATGACTCCCTTCCTTAATCCAATTATTTATACTTTGAGGAATCAGGAAATGAAGGCAGCCATTAAGAGACTGAGCAGTCAACAGATTGGTTTTTGTGTTTTCTCTTAGATATTGTTCTTGCTTATTTGTCTGTCTTCTACTATTTTAGGGAATTGAGTCTTAAGTATTTAATGAAGTGGTTGAAACAAAAATACTAAATGATATCAGTTTTATTCCTGCAATATTCTATATATTAAGTACTTTAAATGTTTTAATTTAAAATGTTCATAACAGAGACACAGGTCCTGGAAAAGCAAACATTATTTTATAACATGAGTTTTAAGATATTAAAAATACATAACTAAAGTCTTTCCTTATAAAATATTTGTAATATTTTGGTGAATGTAAATGCGAACTATTTACTTTCAGTAAAATGTCAAAGATGGTGATAAATTTTTACGTCTACAATTGTGTTCTTAATGTTCTTAAAAATATCTTCCATTAAATATCAATATTATGAAGGTTTCTCAGTGGTATTAAATTAGAATTTATAAAAACTTTCTTCAATTCTGGCCTCAACATTCTAATTTTACTAGTGGTATAAAAAATTAGAAAAATATTTTCAAACATTTCTTTGTGCTCTGAATTCATTTCCTAAAATTCAAAATCAATGGTAGTAATAATAATTAAAACTTTTTCTGTGTCAATATATTTTTTATACTAAATAACAATCATTGTTCAATGTTTCTTTATATTAATTCAAGTGTTTGTAAAGCAACCGTTTTTTATACTAAGAGCCAGACTCTTTTTCAAGCAATATAATACATTGTTAGTGGTATATGTCTAGTTCTTGTCCCAGAGAGGATTACAAGGTTGAAGTGGGGTGAGAGATCTATGTTACTCATTGTGATCTCAGAAAACCACTGTGAGAATGAGATGTTTAAACCAAGGATATAAACATTAAGGAAACTGCATAACAGGACATTAGAGAGAGGAAGAGATTTTCAGACAGAAGTGTCAGTCTATATACATATTGTGGAGTCAAAAAGATCTGTGTCTACTGAAGATAGACCTTTTTGAAGAAGTCCTATGAATTAAAGGTGGCAAGTTTAAAAGTGAGATTGAATACAGGTGAAGACTCCAGAATATGTAAGTGGTAAATCCTCTTGTTTAATAAAAATTATAAATAAAGGAATTTAAATGGGAAGGATTAGAGATAGTAACCTTTGATTTTAATACAGCTCTGTCTTCTTAGGTGAATAAGTGAAAAAGAAAGGTGAGCAGGCTCTTCTTATCCTGAATCTGTTAAATGGTAGTAAATTTATTGAAATGTACAATGAAGCCTTCTAAAGGTAAATAAAAATCTAAAGTTATGCAAAAAAAAAAATCTAACAGACCATTTCCAGGGTGATGCCCTACACCTGGAAATCAAGCTTACATATTTTCCCTTTTTACCTCTTTATTGTTCCCTATTTCAATTTGGCCCTAGACCATGTCTTTTAAATTGTTTATCTTTATTTAATAACTAATACTTGATCATAGATATAAGAATAGTTATTGTGTCTAGTGATACTGATTGAAAAGTATATAAAGAAAGCTTTTAACTTTGAGAAAAATATTTGATAGTTGATAAATGTGATAATTTTAGGTACATTATGAGGGGAAAAATTTCCATTTTACCAATTAAAAGTTTGAGAGTTAGTATCTGCAAATCAGTTCTCATATAATAGGAATTAAAGTCAAGAAGAAGAATAGCAAAGCCAAAAGAATGCACTGGTTTAAAATAGTGTTCAGGGTAGATCTTTTCAACATATAGGCAACAACAACAACAACAAAATTGTCACATGGTAGATACCATATTAATTATTTAAATACAGTGTTTTTAATATTTCATTATCATACACCTCTTTTTAAAAATCTCCCGTTAGGTAATTTCTAGCCAACTCTGCATTCTGACAGCCAGTGGCTAATTATATTCCCCAAAGTCAAAGCAGGTAAAGGGGAAAGAAATTCTTGTTCACTGGCTTAAGAGGGATATCTTGTTATTTATTTGTACGTTTATCATTCTCCTCTTTGCCTTAATTCGTAATTTGTCTGTAAGTTTGTCTTATGTGTTAAATTTAAATCACTAATGTGTTTTAATGGATTGTGTTTTATAATTCACTATTTCTTTGAGAGAAAATAAA